GTTTTAAAAAGCCTGCCCTTAAATGGAAATTGAGGCTGGAGTGCCTGGCTTAAGCAGCCGAGGTGTCAAGTTGCAGCCTTTGGATTCAAGGACAAAAGCAAAACAGCTCTGAGACAAAAATAACAAGGATGATTAATTCTGAAGCCGCTACCTCACCAGGTGAAACTCACAAAAAAACCCCACCTGGCTCAGCGGGAAAACAATGACACAATTTGGAGTTAGGATTATCCGCTAGCCAGCTTTCCAGCCACCGTTGTTAAGCGAACCGCTGCCCTTCAGTTAGAGAAATTAAAGAAATTTGGCTTCCCCAAGGTCGCAAAACGGGATCCCGCGACCCCCCCTGGGGGAAGCATCGCGACCGTCGCAACTCCCGAGTCAGGGTGAGGATTTCGACCATGGGGAAAAGCTGCGATGGGTGCGTGAAAAATGGCCGTCCTTTTTTTCAGCACCGTGGTGGCTCTGAACCATCACTAGGCGAACTGTCATAAGTTGAGGACTGCCTGGACGTAGGACAGAGACGCTCTCAATGTCTCTTCCCAAGATAAAGAAAATCCTCTTTTTTTCTTTTTCTTCTTCTCCTCCTCCTCCTCCTCCACTTTCTTCTCCTTTTTCTCCTCTTCCTCCTCCTCTTCCTCCTCCTTTTCTTCTCTTCCTCCTCCTCCTTAACCTTCTCCTTTTCTTCTCCAACTCCTCCTGCTCCTCAACTTTCTTATCGGACTAGCTGTGTTTGATTAAATTTTCTCCCACGGATAAGATAGATTGCAGAATTCCACCCCTCCTTAAAACCTGGCTGATAAGCATATCTGGATAGTGTCATCTCCTGAAAATGTACTGGGTGTTGCTTTTCTCTTTCCTTCCCCCCTTTTCTCTTCTCTAGCTGTCTGCATTTTCCCACCCAGATTCTTGGAATATTTACAGGCTCGGTGCCTCCAACTTTATCCATGACTTGGCAAGAAAATTTACCTTCTGTTGTTCCCCCTCTTTCTAGGTTTGAATTGCAGACATTCCTTCCTCCTCCTCCTCCTCCTCCTCCTCCTCCTCCTCCTCCTCCTCCTCCTCCTCCTCCTCCTCCTCCTCCTCTCTTGACTCTCAAAGTTAAAAAAAAAAAAAGATCTCTGAACATGCACAGAGTGTTTGCCTGGCCACCCAGATTCCAGCATTGCCCCCTTGAAAATAAAGAATGTATGGGTAACCCGGTCCAGGCCAGTTGAGCTGTTTTTATAGACTTCGTTTTTTGAAAGGAACTTAAAAAATTTTTTTTTGAATAATCCAGCTCATTACAGGACAGAATTATTAGCTATAATTAGAAGATGAGAAAGAACAACTTAAAAAAAAAGAATGAGGTGATGAGTTAAGGCTTTCAACAACATTAGCTAGATTTTTTTTTCTTTTTAATATGAGACGTTCAACCTGGGGATTTTAAAATTATAGTTGTTATCTCGCAAAATAAACCAGTTCCCTGGTTGTGAATGGTTTGCAAAAATACAGCCTGTCTCCTCCTCCCTAAATTGTGGGCTTCTCTGTCTGCCCTCGTTAAATCCCAAATTCACCTGGTCCTCGACTTATGACTGTTTGTTCAAGGATAGACCAGTGGTGGCTAACCTATTTAGGCTCCTGTGCCAGAAGGCAATGCGTACGGGGCCTCCATGCCCCCTGCCCTGTGCATGCATGCGCAATTCCCCCCCCCCCCCGCCCCCCTACTTGCACTGCGCCTCCCGGCTGATTTATGGACTGTCAAAGGCTTGAGGGAAGCCTCTGCAGGCTTTGCAGGCCGAAAAATGGGCCCATTTCACCACTTCAGGTATTTTCGGAAATACATGAAGTGACGAAACGGGCCTAGTTTTCGGCCTGCAGAGGCTTCCCTCAAGCCTCTGGCAGGCCGAAAAAGGCCCCAAAATCAGCTGGGAGGCGCACGCATGTGCAGTGAGGTAAATTTGCCTGGGGCTCACGTGCCATAGGTTCGCCATCACGAGGATAGACTGACTTTAAAGATAAAAGAGAAGGAAGATTCAGAATATTTTCAAATACAGGGTTTGTTTTTTTAAATGGTTGGATCTCAGAAGTAAAAATTAGGAGATGGGAAAACTTTCCTTATGTAAGCAACTGACTCAGACAAAACACTATTCACAAAGCCCTTATATATGTTAATTGAAAATGTATAAATAAACTATATACATAAAAAGAAAGCCCTATGGGACAAATTGCGAGCTGATAGCTTGTGGGCACCATGTGCTTATTTTTATTGGACAAAATCTCCACATTTCTGCTGGCCCAACAACATCTGATGTAGCTTCTTCTCGCCAATTAATTTTGGGATGGTGGACCAATTCTCTGAGCCATCCGGAGAGGTCCGAGTCTTGACTTTCCTTCCCTCTTGATGACTCATGCTTTTAATGGATCTTTCCCATAAAAATGCAACTCCAGAATTATCTCGATAAGTCTTCCTGGAAGGGAAAACTACCCATATTTCTTTCAGTCTCTGAAGACCTTGGACTCTGATCTGGCCTGTTGATGGGTAAATATTTTTGAGGAAACATCTCGGTAACTTATTGTTTGACTCAAGGCTGTTGAGTTTCTTGCTTTTATGGTCCT